TATTCAGCTACGCTTTGCTGTTTTGATTCAGTTGATGCTGAGGCATATGCCATGCCAATTATTTTAAGGATCAAAAATAGTGTCAATAAGAGTTGTATAGGTACATATTTATATACGTCTTCTGAGATTTGACCTTGTACAATAACAAGACAAACATTTTAATCTTATCTCTCACGTAAAAAAATATATGAATATAATTTATTATGGATCGGACCTTTTATAACATTAATTCAGCTAATTAAGGATTAGAAAGGACCTTATCCTTTTTCTTGCGCATATAATCTTTTTAATTTTTACTACTGTGCTGCATACATATAAATTTGCAAATCTTATGTAATCCCCAACCTTGACTGTTCATTGTTAAATTGTTAGTTAAATTCGAAAGGCTTTGGCCGGATGGATACGTTGAATAAATATTTTTAACGACTTGAATTGCTAACCTTTTCCTGGATGTGCATCGACCATTTCCTTGTATTTTTTAAACTTTAATTAAATACAAGGTGGCCTAGAAAGATTGGGTCACCGCTCAGCCACAGACTTCTGGGATTAAGACGATTTAGATCAACTCACTTCTACACAAATGTCAATGCCTATTGAGATGTAATCCGCTGAATGTGGTACCACGAACACATAATATTACATTAAAACTGTTTTAGCAAGAAACTTTTTATGTGGGGCATGTCATTATTTATTTCAGTGTAACATTTTTTTGAATATATAAAAAATGACACAGGATTCCACCTCCTTGGCCATCCCATAAAGTTTTTATACTGTTCTATTACATTTTGTGTTGCAATATTTATTTTAAAATAATTGTGTTGTAAAACTTGTTATCTACTATGAATTTTGAACCGAATAGATACATTCTAGTTCATATAAATTCTATTTGCTCATTTCCATGTGTAGAATCACTCGTCAACATGTAAAAGTGTCCTTTATTCCGGTACATGTAAAACCGATAATTGCTCTTTTTACCCTAAATTCATAATTTCGTTTAACAACATCTTGTATAGCGCTTGTCTATTTGGTTTATTAGAATTGTTTTTTTAATTTAATTTGTATTCATATTTATATTTTGTTAAAAGAATGTTACGTGAAATAATTCTCAAAAAATTACCTATTTAACTCCTCATTCCTGAATTTCCAATTAGTCCAACCAAAGTGGTGTTACAGCTTTTACACAAGAACAATTTCAAAAATTGAAACATTTAATGATTTTAAGTCGCAAATATTTGTATAATTTAATGGAGACACAAGTTATTTAAGATTTCGCAAAAGCTAAGCCAAATTTAAAAAATATTAACACAACTGTTTACCTATTTTTTTAACCGTTTTATTTGACATTTCCTGATTTTATTAAACTCGAAAAAAACTGTCACGATTTTATTGTACTTATTTTATTTCCATATATGTTCTTGATAAAATATTTTATTTTAAACTTGAATTATACAATCTGGTATATGCTTTACATTTTAAGTATTTAGTAGATATTAAATAGTATCCTTAATGTCTATGTTGCAATCTGAAAGATCTGTGGTATGACAGATGCATAGCTGAAATAACAAATCCGACCAAATATTTATTTATTACGCAATTATTTTCAGTTTTATCTGTTAGTCAATACTGAAATATTTTTAAAAATATTTTACTCAAATTTTCCTCTTTCGCACGGACTTTTTTATGTCGATATAATAATCCTTGCCCAAAAGTGGTAAATAATTTTAATCTTTATTCAAGATTAATAATATGAACTATTTATGCTATTATGACCTGGATGTTATTTCGAAATGACACTCATCAAATGAGTCAGTTAATATTTTATTAAAATGGCATTTAGAGATTATTATCAATTGGTCAAATGGCTTCCTTGTAATGGAAGTAATGAATATTAATAGAATAAAATAAAAAAGTGTCGACAAAATGACTAGACTAATTTGATTTTTATTTATTAACCAATATAACCTTTATACTTAATTTATTCTTTAAAAAATATAACGTAAAATGTAACGTAAAGGTTGGGAATAAATTAAACGATGGATTTTTTATTTAAAAAAATAAATATTTGTCATATGAAGTTATGCTCTACGGGTTTTCTTTTCCAAGTTACAGGGCGTTAAAAAATTTCAAAAAATTGAGTTTTTTAATATCATTTTCAATGCAAAACTCTTTTTTCAATGCCTATTTGACCATGTTCGGTGGCCGAGTCAAAGCATACTGCATAATATTTTTGTTATTTTTATTTACCTATGTTAGCAGTGGGAAAAATGGTATTTACGAAGGTTTTATTTACGGAAAAATTACAAGAGCCAGAAATAAAACGCAAGGGGGTAATTTTGTTTAAAATAAAAAGCGGATCATAAAAAAATATTAAAAAATTGTTTTTAGCAGTGGCGTACCACAATTTGCTTAGAAAAACCTTACGGCACAATCCGTACACACGCCACTGAGTAACTTACAAAGTCAATCTTTTTCCTGTTACTAGGGGATTATCAAATTAAACTAAGGCTACAATTTCGTTCCATTATCTTATAATGTTCGAAAGCTATTTGAGAAAAACTAATTTTTTTTAGCGCCCTGTAGCTTGGAAAAGAAATATCCCGTAGAGCATAACTTCATATGAGAAAAATTTATTTTTTAAACCAAAAAATCCACCGTTTAATTTATTCCCAACCTTTACGTTACACCCAGTATATTTTTTTATTAACTTCCGTATTTTACTTTATGAAGGTATTGGCTCAATTCAAATTAATTATAAAAATTTGTTTCTAAAATATGCAATCAAATGGAATTAAACAATAAGACAATCGTAATAAAATGTGGAAATAGTAAGATCTTTCTATAGCGACTATTTTTATTCGTTGTCTTCGTCGAGGGTGATAGAACAACAAGAATATTTTTTCAGATAAGGTACGAAAGCTAAAAATAAAAAACATATTTTAAAAAATATTGTGCATACAATCTGTTTGATTATGAAGGCCCTGAGCTTGGTTACCCATTTTTGATCACCCTGTAAAGTATACATATTTTTAAATGGTTATTTTCTTTAAGCATATGTACTACCTAATATACAGTTTTTTTTTCGTCACACTGTAGATGAGTGGCGACGATTTAGTGCGTCAGTATAAAGAAAATAACATCCCATTTAAAAAAAAAATATGTATATATATATAGGGTGTCCAAATATGGATAACCGAGTTGTACCTAAAATGTTAGTCCCCATAATAACAGTTTCAAAGATTACACAGCCACACAGAAAAAAAAATTTGGGTATACTTTTTATGCGACATATATTTTTCGTAGTAATTTGGCCTCCTGCACACGAATCTGGGGTCAGAATTGGCCCATCACGTCACAATTTTTTCCTAACCTCAAAAAACTTGTGAAAAATAGTGAAAATTGATGAAAATTTACTGGGAAAATTTGGAAAAAAATTTATTTCCACATCAAATAGTACATTTTTATGTAAAAGACTCTGCTGAATTCAAATCCACTGTCAGAATTGAGCTAGAACGTGTGGTTTTTTTTCTAACCTCAAAAAACCGAGCAGGAATCGCTATTTTCAAATTCTGAGCGGATTTTGACCAGATTTTGTATAAAGGGGTTTTTTGGGTCGCTGATTACGAATATGAATTCACATTGTAAAAATTCAAGATGGCTGATCCAATATGGCGGGTGTACTTTTTTGAAATCCACCGATTTCAGTAAAATTTGGCATCATAAGGATTGCTGGTTGATCTCACCTTCATTAATCACACATCTGGAGCCAGATTTTCATAAATCAAGGTAAAATTTGTAGGCAGAGTCATAATTTTAGGCCGAGTAGGCGGCATTTTTTCGGCAAAGTCACATTTTTAGATTGAAGGCATAAGCAGATGCAGTGATGTGCTGTGTGGCAGTAATGTGTCCTTTTCCTTGAACTTTAAAATTATTAAGAAATAAAAGCATCTAAATGCCATAGGAAAACTGCATAGTAGTTAAAAAAATCTGATTGGAAAACCATAAGCCCATGCACGACTAAATAAATGAAAGAATAAAGTAGAAACTTTTTTGTCTTGTCCCATGGAAACAAGCACATCACACTACACATCATTACATGTGTAGAGTCCTTAAGTCATTTTTTTAAGCGAAGTCACATTTTTAGACGGAGTGGAATCTTTTACCTTGATTTATGAAAATCTGGCTCCAGATGTGTGATTAATGAAGGTGAGATCAACCAGCAATCCTTATGATGCCAAATTTTACTGAAATCGGTGGATTTCAAAAAAGTACACCCGCCATATTGGATCAGCCATCTTGAATTTTTACAATGTGAATTCATATTCGTAATCAGCGACCCAAAAAACCCCTTTATACAAAATCTGGTCAAAATCCGCTCAGAATTTGAAAATAGCGATTCCTGCTCGGTTTTTTGAGGTTAGAAAAAAAACCACACGTTCTAGCTCAATTCTGACAGTGGATTTGAATTCAGCAGAGTCTTTTACATAAAAATGTACTATTTGATGTGGAAATCAATTTTTTTCCAAATTTTCCTAGTAAATTTTCATCAATTTTCACTATTTTTCACAAGTTTTTTGAGGTTAGGAAAAAATTGTGACGTGATGGGCCAATTCTGACCCCAGATTCGTGTTCAGGAGGCCAAATTACTACGAAAAATATATGTCGCATAAAAAGTATACCCAACTTTTTTTTCTGTGTGGCTGTGATTATTTGCCATACAAAAAAAACTGCCGCATCCTTACAAGAAAGATCCGGATAAAATTTTGATATTTTTTGTTCGGCCTACGATCAAGTCGGACGGGTGCTGGCTATTTATCCTCAGGGATGAATAAATTGAATGGAATATTAATTATGTATGTTCTCTTCCTTTTTGTACGTCTGTGTTTTTTTTTCAATTTGAAATATTCATTTTTCTTGGTAAACAATATTCCTTCTTATTTTCTTTGTAATAAATAAACAGTACGTTTCTATTTTTTTTATAATACATTTATATTTTGTTTCAGGAAGACTATGGCAACTAATTGGGATAGGAACTTTGTAGCAAAAGGTAGGAAATTTTTTTGTTAGAAAAATTAAATACATCTTCCGTAATTAACATAAATATTAAATGCCATGAACAAGATATTGAAATAAAATAAACAATAAAACAAAAAGTAAACATAAATAAACAGCAACAATATCTGTTGATAATTAATTTAAAATATATAAATACTTTTCTTTTCTTAACAATGAATGTATAATTAGAAAAGAGGTTCACCCTTTCCATACATATTTCAGAAAGCGCCAATGGGGTGTTTGCATAACAAGGGTCTAGTGTTTTATCACTGAATGAAAATACAAGCAATTTCATTAATACTCCCTTTGTACAAATTTTGATCTGAGTTTAGAAATGACAGTGGTATGAGGCTTTAGTTGAGTTTCCTATTATAGTTGTTACGATCTCAATTGGAACCGCATAAAAACATTTAACTCATAAATTCTGCGGATTCCATAGACGTCCAGAAAAATTTAGCCCTGTCTCGTCTAGATATACTATATTCCGAGCTATATTACCATATAATTACCATACGATTGCCAAGTTTTTTATGTTTAAAATCGCATTGTAATAAAGCATGTCGTAAAATATCTAAAGATTTATAATTATAATCAGGATAACCGCTTAATTTATCTCGAATCATGTTTAAAGTAAGAACTTTATTTTCTTTATACATATTATAAATTGTGCGCCGCATTACATCTGGTAAAATCGTCAATTTTCTTTAATTATGTATGTTTCCGTTTCCTCTTTGTACCATGATCAATCCTTCTTTAATTACGGGATAAATTGTCGTTTTTGATATCTTAGTTCATTCGTTAATCCGTTTCCTAATTTTTTTGTCACATTGTTCACTATTTTCAACTTTCAAACATTCATATACAAATATTTAAAATAATACGTTGACTTTGTACGTGCGTAAATCTTTGTTCTTAAACTCTGAGTTTATTTCGATACTTTCGACAAATACCGGTTCCACTATTTATTTCGTTATCCTCCGCTTCAAAGTCTCCAGAGAACCACGCTAAATTACTAGATAATTACATATGCGTAACATTTATTTTAATAACTATTACCCTTTACTGGTTACGATATGAACAAATAATAATATCAACTAAAAAATAATAATACGTATTATACCAACAACTTACCTCGCCAAGCAATGCTCTGCACGGCACTGGCAAAGCGGCAAAGCTAAGTGAACCTATACCATACAAAAAAATTATTTACGACCTAGTGGACCAATACAGGTTTGCTTTGATGACCAGCGCGTCGCCGTCAATTCTACATCAGGCGGACTAGTTTACCGATACCGGACTTGCTCAATGGCTATTCGAGTATATATTACGAGACGCATCATGATCAAAGCATAGGAAGAAATTTCAGGAGAAATGCATACGGTCCTGTGCTTTAAAATGTACAGGTTCCAATTGACATCGTAACAATTATAACAGATGGCGCTATTAAAGCAAAACCTAGTACGTTTCACTGTTATATGCATTTTTTTAAATTGGTTTAAAAATTAAGAGTCAATTTTTTACCACGTTATATCATTTTATGGTAACTATGTGAAAAGATTGCATACACCCCATTAAACTTTAAAAAAAGTTATTGTTTTAAATTCAGAAAATATAAAAGGACTTATTACAGCCACCGAAAGAATATCAGAACAATTAATTTTTAAAGCAGTATGTTAACTACCATTATTTGCATTAAAACTTTGGAGTTTTTTTCCGAGAACCGTGGAGTAGGTTTTCCACACAAATTATTTAAGTGTAACACCTTATTTGGGAAAATGAACCAGTATTTTCGAAAAGCCAGTAAATACTTTTCTCTTTGCGAGGCTTGTCCCTAAATTGCTTATAGCACAATTCATATTTTCTTTTTATTTATTTGATAATAACTGCCCCAATTGGTATACATTCAATATTTTTTAGTTCATCCACTATGTGATATTTGTTCTATTAAATGTTTAATTAACTCTAAGTAATGTAGTATTACTTACCGCTCGGAAGTTCTCCATTAATCCTGCAAGTTTACGGGAAACTGTTTATAAAATATTTTATTGTCCGAGGCAACAACAGACCAGATAGATTTAATACATCAGCTGCAATCATGAACCAATGATGGCAAAATGAAGGAAAACTGGAATGTAGGAGGTAATTAGAACTACGCCTACTTTGAAAAGATTTAGATTAAGCATGCACTTCATCTTTAACTAATTGTAAGAGTATCAGGATGTGTTACAATGGTATTTAAGTTTCAGAAACTAATTTTTTAAATCCTGTAGTACCACTGGATCGCGTTGTACATCCATATAAAATGAGCAAACCATTAATATACAGGGTGTAAGAGTTTGATTGCCATTACTTCAGCATGAGATAGAATAATCATAAATGAACAAAAAAGTTGTATAATATGGAGGCGTAAGATTAACAGTTTTCAAAATACAGCGAGTATTAATATTGGGGAGTGTCATCACAACGTGACAACAGCGCTTAACCTAACGCCCACGTGTGCACGCGGCACACTTGTTCTACGGAAAAAATGTAAACAACTATTATTGTGAAACATTTAGTAAATTTCAAGAAAATTGTTTTCCAGTTTTTAAATAAATAAAATAAAATATATCGCTTTTGTAGTACGAAGATAGTGTCGTGCTTAAATTTTAGCTCGAATTTTAGTAATTATGAATCTCTTAAAACAGGAACTTAACTTTTAATCAAATTATGAATTTGAAAAATATGTAATTAAAGTACCCAAAGATTCACGTCATCCAAATAATCATACGTATTAAAAATAATTTAGGTACTTACCAAAAAGCAAAATTCAGTAATTTTTAAACGCACAAGTACAAAGTACAACATATGCTCAAAATGTCCATCACCATTTTCGATGCACGCACGGCACCTTCAAATCCAATTTTCGCGCACACGCTGAAAAACACCTCAAGAAAAGGAAATAGCGGTATGCAAAAAACACTCCGACACGGTCGAATCCATATACCAACTGAATTGCGTATTTGTGATTGCTGGACACCTTGGTACCTCGTGTTAATAAACCGCCGCTGTCACTTTGCCCGATTTTATCTAATTTTAAATTTATTACAACGCTAATTATTTTTTAGAATAATGAAGTTCAAAAAAGTGATAAACATTGTATTTTATGGTATTCTATTCACGCAGTTATGTCAATATTCCTTTTGTACATCAAGTTGAAGGTTTTGATACTTTTTTCTCGAAAATGGTTGAGTTTAGGACCCACGTCATATAAGGTTTATTTTAATGTATTCTATCATCTGTTAAAATTTAGGCAGTCAAACTTCTAACACCCTGTAATAAGTAAATTTACTGAAAATTATGCAAATCTTGCATATTAACAACAATAATCGGAATATTCGGAAGGGCATAATTTTTCCAGAAATACCCAGTTTCGCTTTAACATTTTGACACACAATTGTGGGTGGCGAACCCTTTACCTATTTGTCCATTGCTTAGGTACTTTAATCTAATTTGCAATTGAAATGGTTTGTTTTACGAACGTGTTTTGCGAGGCTAGTGGGGTGGAATAACGAAAGCCGCTATCGCTGATTGATCAAAACCAAAAACGTCCCGTGTTGCGGGAATTTTCATTAGGCTGCAACAATAGGACGGGTCGAATAAATTACGTTAATTTTCATCCGCGCGAATATTCGATACCTTCGATATTCATCACTAAATTATGAGATAATGATAAATTAATAATTTCAAGTGGTATAAACGGTATAGTTCTGAATGAGATACAATTTTTTTTTGTTGATATTTGTTTTAGTGCAGGAAATTCTACAATAATGCATAATTAAACTGATTTAAAGAAAATGTTTAAGTACCGCTTTTGTTTTAATATACAGGGTGTTGTTGAAAATGGGGTTTTTCTTTACCTAACGGTTGTTTGACAATAAATAATGTTTTAAAGAATTGCCAATTTTTTTTGCTCAACCGTAAAATAGGTCATTGTTAAGTTATGGAAGTTAAGGCTTAGAAATCTCATCTCTTTTATCAATCTATTCGTTTTCCATAAAAAATTGTCTCGCTGTCATAAATCAGTAAGTCAAGCTGTTTACCACAGATTACTTGCATGTAATGGGACTATCGTTATGCCATTTTTAATTCGGGGATCTTCTTTTTGAGATACTGGGGTGTTAAGATTTTAAAAACGAATTTTTTTATCATAATTTCAGACGTTTATAAGGTCATATTTTCATTTTTTATTTAAAAAACATGGAAGGGCAAGCTGATGAACTACTATGGCTACCACCATCATCCATTTCGCCACTTACGCTGTTTTTTTTTTTTGGAAAATTTCCCTCAAAATATATAATAAGTATATATGTTAGAAAACAACAGAGTTATTAACAAGAATCATATTTAATAATCTTATTCTATTCTCTTATTTTTGCCCATAAGTAGTCCGTGGGTTAACGGCTTAACCTACTAATTTGTGACACCCTGTATATCTTAAAAAGTATTATAAACAGAGTGATTCAGTCATAATGTCATTAATGTTAACCACGTATTCGAAAGACCTATTAAAGACAAAATCAAAAAAAAATACTCAACATTTTAAAGAATAAGCAAATTACCCCTTAACTCCCGTTAATTTGCCTCCCTACTTTGCGTCACATTTACTGATTTGAACGCGCTGGCGGACTACAGAGTGTTTGAACGTTGAAGCGAAACAGCAGCTGGTTTTTTACCCAGTCGTCTAGAATTTTGCAATTGGTTTCAAAATCAAAGTGCAGCGGATCCTAAAACTTTAATAACAAAGCTATGGAGTAATGAATATTAGCCGTAGTGTCATTTTAAATAGGTAGGTACCATACTCTTTGAAAAACAATAAATCACACAATAAGGTATACGTACTACAAACTGAATAATTAATTGAACATATGTAATACGAAAAACTCATATTCAATTATAAAACGTAGTGAATACGTTAACAATCTTAAAAATATTAAATTGTATAACCTAACATT